TTATTATTATCAGTTCATACAAGTGGCTTGACTGTGGACAGACTGGTGTTTTACCAGTTTCCAGTTAATGGCAAGCTTGAGCCTTGATGATTCCTGGGCTAAACATCCAAACTGTTGCAATATGAGGGTGACAGATAACTAACGATCAATCCAATGAAAGCCATTTAAACAGTTTATTTTTGAGAAACTACCAGCTGCAACCACACATAATCACAAAYATGAAGGTAAAAGACCTTGGTCTTTTCAGATTAAAACAATCTAAAACCAAAATCCATAAATGTATAATGACTTGATGAATGATACTATTATACGTACATACATATAAATGTATGATAGTTCTGACTGTGTGTGGGTTACAGAAAATTGACAATAAATTCAAAGTTGTACACCATAAAGAGTATATTGTCAGGTTATTCTACCACTGAAAAATAATCATTCAAATTAATGATTAACAGACTCAAATAGACCATTTTGTAGTTWTAAATGATCACAAATCTGCGAAAAAGGCCGACCTCACGCTTATCGAGCAAAAACTGAGGTTGCTTTGTCCAATTTTATTGCACAAATTCAACAGGTCAATTTGAGCCGTTATACAGACACGATGTATTTGCTCTAAACTTGTTTTAAACTTTCCTCTAGGATCATAGATGTGCTTTTTGAGCTTATTGAATTTGAATAATTTATCCAAATGACCTGTGACCTGGAAACGCTAGGCTTCACTATGTGATTTGTGATCATTTCTAATAATATATTATTAATATGATATTCATGTCCATGAAGTGTGGATGTAAACTTCTGACCACTACTGCCCATATCACAACACTTAATCAGAAATCMCTTCACATTATTGTCTGCGTCTTGGAATTTTGTGGGTTTCGTTTGTTAACATTTCCATTTAAACAAGTTATGTATAAATTGTTTCAGGTATGGCTCCCTGAGGAGACGGACTCTRATGTCCCCCAAGGCCTGGAAAACCAGTTTCACTGAGTTTCACAGAAACTACAGTCCCAGAAGCAGCCAGCGGAACAGTTTCAGGTCCTCCGAAAAACCTCGCTACGGCAGTCTGTCCAGAGAGAGCAGCACGCTCGGCGTCTCCTCGCAGCCGTCGCCCCTGGACAACCCTCTGTCCGAATCCAGGGAGCTGGATGCCGCATCGAGCCACAGCGAGGGGCAGGACGCCGTCGCAGTGGGAACATCAGGAAACGAGCTGAAGTCAGAAGAAGACAGCAGCCGGGCTGAAGGGGAGACAGGCTTAAAGGAGACGAAGGAGGAGGAGAAAGATGGGGAAAAGGCTCCACCAAGTGAGAGCAGCTCAGAACTGAACGGCTCGTGTGATTCRGTGAGCTTGGAGCTCCAGCTGTCTGCAGCGCACAGCGGCCCACTGCACATCGAGGAAGACGACAGCACCGTGACCCCTGACCCCGCTAAACCAAACGGCCTGGTCAGTGGGTTGAACCCTGACCCCAAGGACCTGAGCACTCCTCAGAAGGTTTGTTTCCTGACAAGCACACAGCTAAAGCATGCTGATAGTTGTATTTACCAGAGCTTTATAAGTCTTATTGATGTGTTTTGTCCTTTTTATTTAGGATGTGCCTGCAGGAAAAGAGGTGTCGCAAGACTCAAAAAGCACAACGGTTTAAAGTTTTAACAGATTAATTAAGGTTGTAGTTTTATCTTTTCTTTAATCCACTTTTTTCTCCGTGTTTCTATATTTGACCCTTTTTWTCCTCATAAAACACAGAATGTCAGGAGAGAACATGACGAGTCTGAAGACAACAGCCGCCCATGAAGAACAACAAAAACCAAAGAGTGAGGACAGCTGCGCAGACGAGCCCAACGCTTCTCTGACGTCTGATCTGCTGTTGTCTCACTTATCTCCTAATGAAATCAACCTTATATAATATTTTGGGGAACACTCTGAACTTTAAACATCTATTGGAAACCAACACAAATTTTTATTAGGATGAATCTCCTAAATAGGTTTACACTGACAAACTGGATTAAAGTCTCAGTTAAAAAAAAACATTGATAAGCTTCATGTTCTCCTGCAGCCACTAACTGAAAGCAATATAATGTGTATGTGTGTGTGTGTGTATGTGTGTGTGTGTGTGTGTGTGTTTCCCTTTTGAAAAATAAGAGATGAATAATTTAAGATTTTAATCAAATGTAATTTTGTGTCATACATTTACCACTTACAAATCTAATTAAATATACATTGTTYTGTATCATGTATTTTTAAATATGCACTCAWTGTGAACTGAAACTGTTTCTTTAGTCGTAATAATTATTCAACATGTTCACACTAATTAACATGTGCACAAGGAATAAAATGCATGTTATTTAAAATTGTGTCTTTGTAGCTGCTTTTATTTTTTAAATCAAGGTTCAACGTGAAAAAAAAAATATTGACGCTCCCATTGACATTTGTGGTTTAAAATGTTTGAAAATCACAACGGATAACTATATCCTCTTTTTATTTGACTGTTTTATGTATTAGAACATAAAAATAAAGTATTATTTTGTAAAACTAGGCAAAGGCAACGTTAGATAACTGATGTACTGCACAAGGTCATTTCTGTATTTTGGAAAACCAAATGGCAAAATGAGAAGCCAATGTAAACAAATAAACTAATTACACCTCGTGGTTTGACTTTGAAGGTGAACATTTAGGACATCCTTGCTTTTAAACATTTTTTATAGGTAATGTTTCACAGTGTTGAATCATTAAGTTTAAATTAGGTGAACAAGGCCAGGCTTTTCAGATGAATCAGTAACAGCAGTCGGCTCTATTGCTCCTGTGTTTTTTCTGCTCAGCATTGTGTGTGCGTTAACACACACCTGAATGCACCTTTATTAACAACTGCCTTTTGTATTTTTCTTTTATTACTTTATTTAACTTTTGTCATTCTTTCAATTTGTTATTGTATTTCCGTCTGTTGCTGTAACAAAAGAATTTCATGTGAAACTTTAGTGTTAATGCTGAGTGTTGAATTACTCTGATGAAGTAGCTGAAACTGAGTGGTTAAAGTAAAAAGAAGCCGAACACTAGCGAAATACTAAAAGAAGTAAAATGATAGCTAAAAGATAAAAAAAATGCCAAAAGACCCTGTCACACTTTAATGTTTTATACAAATTTTGTTGATGTACACAGTCAAAAGTTTTAGAACACCTTAATCTTTCCAGTTTTTTTTATTTGAAATTCAAGCAGCTCAAGTCCAATGAACAGTTTGAAAGGGTACAAAGTGCTGAACTGCCACAGGTTACAAAAACAAAAAGTAAGGTGAGTCAAAACTGAAAGTCAAGGTGTTTGTGAATTCAGTCTCCTTCACCATCACGATACACTCAGAAACTGGTGGAAACTCTGACGTTGAACTTCAAATTTAAACAATGGAAAGATTAGAGTGTTCTAACTGGAAAAATTAAGGTGATCTTAAACTTTTGATCGGTAGTGTATGAAAATTTTATCTAACATGCTGACATATGTTGAATATTGAATTAAAAATATCTGGAAGCTTCTTTTTGACATACACAATTGTGAATTAGTTGAATGAATATAACCTGTGTTTAAAATATGAGGARGGAGTCAGAAAGAACTTCATTGAGTCTTTACAGATTTAAAAAATGCGTATTACAGGATGCCGAGGGAGGAGCTGTGATATTGTATGAGGATATCTGGAGTGGCAGAGATGTACTCACCAGCCACTTTATTAGGTTCACCTTGCTAGTACCCGGTTGGACCCCTTTTGCCTTCAGAACTACCTTAATCCTTGGTGGCATAGATTCAACAAGGTACTGGAAACATTCCTCAGAGAGTCTGGTTCATATTGACATGATGGCATCACACAGTTGCCGCAGATTTGTCGGCTGCACATCCATGATATGAATCTCCTGTTCCACCACATCCCAAAGATGCTCTATTGGATTGAGATCTGGTGACTGTGGAGGCCATTTGAGTACAGTGAACTCAGAGTGGCACCCGGTGTGGTCTTCTGCTGCTGTAGCCCATCCTCCTCAAGGATTGACATGTTGTGTGTTCAGAGCTGCTCTTCTGCAGACCTCAGTTATAACGAGTTGTTATTTGAGTTACTGTTGCTGTTCCATCAGCTCCAACCAGTCTGCCCATTCTCCTCTGACCTCTGACATCAACAAGGCATTTGCTCCCTCAGGACTGCCGCTCACTGGACATTTACTCTTTTTCGGATCTGTAAACCCTAGAGATGGTTGTGCGTGAAAATCCGAGTAGATCAGCAGTTTCTGAAATACTCAGACCAGCCTGTCTGGCACCAACAACCATGCCACGTTCAAAGTCACTTAAATCACTTTTAGTCTCCATTCTGATGCTCAGTTTGAACTGCAGCAGATCGCTTTGGCCATGTCCACATGCCTAAAAGCATTGAGTTGCTGCCATGTGATTGGCTGATTCCACATGTGCGTTAATGAGCAGTTGGACAGGTGTACCTAATAAAGTGGCCGGTGACTGTGTGTTAGACTGGTACAGGACATGTATGAAGACAGCAGGGCGATGGTGAGATGTGCTGTAGGTGTGACAGATAGCTTCAAGGTGGAGATGGGACTGCATCGAGGCTTGGCCCTGAGCCCCTTTGCTCTGGTGACAGACTAACATACAAGTCTATGTGGACCAGGATGTTTGCAGAAGACGTGATCTRTGGTGGGACAAGGGAACAGGTGGAAGAAAATGTATATGGGTTGAGATATGCACTGGAAACAAGACAAATGAAAGGCAGTCATAGAAAGACAGAGTACATGTGTGAATGGTAAGGAGACAAGTGTAACTGTGAGAATTCAAGGAGCAGAGGTCCCAATGGTGCAGGACTTCAGGTACCTGGYTGACTGTCCAGGAAAATGGGGAGTGTGGTAAAAAGGTGAAGAAGAGAGTCTAGGCGAGATGGAGAGGTTAAAGAAAGGTCTCTGGAGTGATTTGTGACAAAAGATTGGCAACAAAAGTCAAAGTTTACAAGAGAGTAGTGAGACCAGCTGTGTTGTATGGTTTGAAGACTGTGGAATGGACCAAATGACAAAAGAAAGGACTGGAACAGGGATGAAGTTGTTGAGGTTCTTACTGCGAAWGACAAGGATGAATAAGATTAGTAATAAGATCATCATAGCTGCAGCACAGGTTGAACAACTGGGARAGTTAGAGAGGCTGGACTGAGAAGGTTTGGAYRTGTCCAGATGAGGGACAGTGGGTATGTTGGTAGGAAGATTTTAGAAATGTAACAGCCAGGAAAAAGACAAAGAGCAAGACTAAAGAGGARATACATTAGGCTATATGGATGCATTTAGAGAAGACATGTAAGTAACTGGGGTGAGGGCAGAGTATTAAAAGATCAAAATCTAAATTTTTTATCTTGTTTACTCAGAGAACAGAGTAAAAATGTGTAAGGATAACTTGCTGTGGCAACTCAGCTGAAAGAATAAGTGGTTTAACCTATAATGATGGCAGCCTTTTTGGCTTATAAATAAAGTATGCAAAACATTAGTGTAACTTGTGCCAAACCTATGCATGTTGGAGCGTATTACACTGATCACATGATATCAGATTGTAGYGGTCTTTATTGTATGAATCGCTTTGATTTGTTGTTGTCTAAAATGTTCAAGTGTGACAGGACAATGCTAGCTAAACATTAGCTACAAGTGGTAAAATTCTAGCTAAAAACAACAAAGGACTTTCTAAAAGTATCAAAATACTAGCACAAAGCTAAAAGTTGCAAAACAATAGCTAAAAGCTTAAAGTGTTGAAAGGGTTAACTAAAAGTTAAATGCTAAAAACAGCAAAAGGCTGGCTTGAAGCTAAAGTTGCACAAGACTAACTAATAATAGCAAAAACCTAGCTAAAGGCAGCAAATGGCTTTTCAAAAGCTAGAAAATGTGGAATATGAAAGCCAAAACAGAACAAGACATCTGAAGCAGATTTCAAAAGAGATACATCTTTTGATATGAATGGCTAAAACAGCACAAACTATCCAGTAGGTAGACTTGTGAAAAATAAAAATCTATAAAACAATAACATACTTAAGCCTTAGAAGAACTGAATGAACTACTCCTAAATCTTTCTGCTCCACTTTACTTGTTGGGTCACATTTCAAACGCAGGAGTCATCCATCTTTTAGATTGACGATCTTTGACATAGATAAAGGGGAGGAATGGGAGGGGCGGAAACGTGCTGCCTTTTTAACACACGAGACCGAGAGCGGCGTCAAAATCGATCTCTGCTGTTTCACGTCGCRCTTCACGTCTCGGCAGAACGGGGTGTTAAAAGTATAAACTTTAAAAAGCAGTGAGTTATTCTTCTCCACCGAGTAGAGTTACTCGTGAAAAGTTCTGGTCCTGGTTGTGTTCGTCCTCAGGTAAGATCTCATAAAACAGCTGTTGATCGGAACAGAACAATGCCTGCCTGATTAGCTGCTGGTAAAWCTTTACCTGAGACCAGTGTTTGCTGCTTTTACTCAGTTTTTAGCTTTGGGTCCAAGTATTTGACTTGAGGCTGGGCAGTGAGGGTTAAAAAAGTTTGTCTCTTTAAATGGTCAAAGTATTTCCACTGACAGGACAGATCTATAGAGTGAAGTAAAAAAACAAACAACAACCGGAAACATCTAGCTAACAGGCTACTTTTAACCATAACAATGATGGAAAAACTTCTGTGTGAATCCAATTTTATTTACCTTTTGTCATGTTTTTCTTTTTTTCCTTAAGCCAAATTAAGCCAGTGCTAACAATGAACATTTTACATCGTTTGTTTGTGTGTGTGTGTGTGTGTGTGTGTGTGTGTGTGTGTGTGTGTGTGTGTGTGTGTGT